CCGTGATCTAAAGCTGGCTCATTCAGAGTGGGTTCGGAACTACAATAGCCCAGTTCCCAGTGGTGCTGGCTAGATTTGCATCTTTCAGGCTCCTTGTCAACCCCAGTGTCACACGTAGTCGCATACCAAGCCCTTCTATAGCGTTGCAGAGAAGTTTTGTGACCAAAAGCGTAATAAAGGACTATGCTACTAGTTGAGTCAACATTTGCTGTGCTGTTGGCAGTGGGTACGACTTCTGTTTCAAGACTGGATTAATGATGCGTTTATAACATACACATAGCCATATCACGCCGTTTGACTTCCCCACAGGTACAACTGGCGTAGCCCATGCAGATTTCCGCACCAAGGCAAAATTCCTTGTTGCACGAGTTGCGTGATGGTGTACTACTCCTTTGACTCATGGGCCAAAGGAACAAGTCGAGGCTTGGGGTACTTGGGTTTGAAGTTTAGATTTAGTGTGAAAGTATGTGGGTCCGCCAAGTCCTTACTCGAAGACCCTTGGAAATTCATTTGGCAGTCCTTGAGTCTGTGGGAGTGGCTCGGCTAATTGAAGGACACCTTAAATAGTAGTGCTTTGTGTTGTGTTAGGCGGTAGACAAGAGCAAGACCATCCTTTCTCAAGCCTCGACAAAGAGTGTTTTAATTTGTCATCTGCTTGGACCCCTCCCCTCTCTCCCTTTCTGAATGCGCAAAAGACCTTTCCGGAAAATCCCAAGAGACCTTGCAACGGGGGTAATTGTGGGGCTCTTCGGATGTACGCTCGTGCCGGCTCGAACGCTTTGTATATCGTAGAAGTAGCACGATTCAGTCTTTCTTATCATTAGGAGCTCAGAAAATGCTAAAAATTGAGTGAGTGGTAAAAAAAAAGCCATCACACCCTCTGTTTTGCTCTCCCTCTGCCCCCTCCGTGTTCTGAAATCACAAACTGTTAAACAAACATCAACTCCGTCTTCGCTTCTGGGACAATTCCTCGTGCCATACATCTGGACGTCGCAGTGCATAAAGTAGACGCTGGGGGCACCACATGTTTCTGGAAAGGTCTGTTGCTCACGCATCACGTAGCTTATTGAATACTTCAAACCGGTTTCTTTCAAGCAGGCTTGCTCCACGTCTTTTCACGGTCAGCAACAATGGCTCACGCTCCTTTCCCTTGAACCGCATGGAAAAATTGATATTTCCCAGAACCACCAACTTACATTGTGAACACGTCCGGAGAGCTCTTTAGGTTTAAGTCTATGCTGCCGTTCCAAGCCGACACTATCTCTTTAGAACAATTGTTGACCAAGCCTCACCATCTATGCAGATGAAGATTTCATTTACTTGAACTTCGAAGATTTCTGCCTTGGTTCAATGATCCAGATGATGACTGGATTCCATTTCCGGAGCTTGGTGCTGGGATTCGGCCAACTACTGACGGCATGCATGTATGATGTGTCCCTTTCCACCACAGAAATGGCGTGTTCAGAATTATAGCTACTTGCACCGTGCGCAACATTTTCTAGCTGTACTCGGAGATGTCTTCCGTGCGCCAGTGCTGTGGCTTGGCATTGATGAACCGTTTCATGCCTTGTGTAGGTGGTGTTTGTCCATGTGGCGAACCTCTGACATCTCTGGAGTCCGGAAATGTGGGGTTTTCCGTTCGTGGCACACTCCGCAGCAATCACAAGTTGTTGAGCCCTAGCGAAAGCGAGATCTGGTGTGGTGAGAAGGTGTCGCTAAATGGCTTCCTCACACACCCTACAAACTAACCGGTCACAAAACTTGTACGAAAACTATGTCTACTCGCAGTGCTGAGCGACACGACGCAGCACAGCAATGTAGTTGGGCACAGACTCCCCGGAAGCACTTGTCGAGTGTGAACCGGTGACCTGTTGCCAACGTCCTTAGCCCCAAGTCTCCTCAAAAGCGGAGACAAAAAAAAAAAAAAAAAAAAAAGAGATTGAAAGAGGGGCGTACACAGAGGGTTGACATGCGCGGCAGAAGACTCCACGCTTCATGTCGTCCACGAACTCATCAGCCAACAAGTAGAATTAAGTCCAGCTGCTCTCTAACCTGTTTTCATTCTTCTGATGCTAATGCTGGGTGCCTCCCCTGTTGTTTATGCTCATATCCACATGTTATGTACAAAAGCAGAGGTTACATCCATTCGAACTGTCTGGATTAATGAAAGGAAAAACACAGCTGCTCATCCGAACAGATACAATCAAACGTCTGCTCCGTGTCCAGGATTTTTGGGTGCAATTTTGAATCCGACACGAGTTCTTAAAACTGATTATTTTGCAGCCGTGTCAGTTTCGGGCTCAATTTCACATTTTGTCACATGCACACACAATTTCACAGGCACACAAGTGTGATGTAAAATTCCGACATGGTGCAAATTAAGTAAGAACAGAAGAGGTTTATTCATTGTTTACAATTGGTGTTTACAGCGAAAGGTGTCACACTTTAAGGCTGTTTCACTCACCTGCAAACTGCTTACGAAGGGAATGACTTCAAACCGATTTAAGCCTCTTGTGACTGACTGGTCAGCCACTGGTCATAAGCTGTTGCAAGTGTGTGAAGCTGCTTTTACATGAATAAGCTGTAGTAGCTTCCAAAGTTACAGCTTTCATGTGCCTTGTACGTTTGAGGCGACATGCCCGTTTGCTTTACCCTAGGTCTCGAGAGAAACTATTATTACCATTTGTGAACTTCTTTTTGTACACGTAAACTGTTGCTTTTCAGTGTGAACTTGCCATTTTGCAAGGGACTGAGGAAATAGCATTCTTTGAAACCAGCACTGCATTGCAACAATATATTTAATGTGGTGAAATAAAAACTTTTCGAGTTCAAAGTATGCACTCTTGTTTTTTCTCTTCATAGTTCCACTGGGCATGCCTATCGTCATACGAGTGTTTCTGACGGTACTAAGCTAATTTCTTTACCACTTCCCCAATTTGCGGTTCGAGCGTAGAGCAGGTTTTTTTTTTTTTTTTTTTGGGTCGGGAGAGCCGCGGCACCGCTAGAAGGCAAGCACGAAGATCTGCGTCGCCGCGAGTAACGGTGATGCGATGACAACGTACAGGCGAAATAAAAATGCTGGCAATACTTCAAATTCAGCTTGTGGGTCGGCGTAAGCGTTCGTGACGACAGAGCATATTTTCGTATCGAAAAAGGCAAGCGTTCATGCATGACATGGTTCCCATCCGCCGCGTCGGCGACGAACCTGCGCGGCAAGAATAGCGGCGACATCGAGACCCGACGTTGGAAACCGAAGGCTCGACTTCGAAAACCAGCGGTAGGCGTTGGTAGTAACCTTGCTTCGCTCTTATCAAGCGACGAGTTGAGAACGCTAAGAGAAGTACTTGCGCCTTTTACGCACTCCTGTGCAGAAGCACGATGCGAGACGTCGCATACTGCGGGCGTCGCGTAGTTGCGTCACCAAGTGTTGAGTCCCTCGCGTCACCGCGTTCACAGCGTCTCAGCCGCGACTGCGTCGATCACGTAGGCTTCCCGCATCAAGCGTTTCTGGCTTCAGCCGCGACTGCACCGATGATCGACCGCGTACGATTCGTGCTTCAGGCGGCGGCGGGCGCCATGTTTACCGTGCCACAGCGGTGCGAGTGACGTCATGTCACGTGACAATTCGCTAACCAATAAAACAACTGGTTTCGGTTTGTAGCGGAAGTGACGTCAGGTCACGTGACATGACAAATTGCCTTAGCGGAAGTGACGTCATGTCACGTGACAAGGGGGCGTGGCCAGGTGCTGTACGGGATATGGTTTGCTTATACGCCGCCCGTTGAGCCGTCAGTGTGTGAGCGATCGGGAATGAAGCCGTCAGTAATTTGTCACCGGGAGTAATTACAGAAATTGCACAGCCGCTCAAATGACGCTCGTGCACATAGCGCTGAAATGATGCTCGTGTACATAGTAGCCTCGTCATAGTTAAGATTTCTTCTCATAGATAGCGCTGGGAGCTTCCGAAGCCTAATGTCCCTGAATAAGAAAGGTAGCGACATCTCCCTCCTCCTCTGACGCGCACACCTTTTATCTTCGTGTTTTGCTCTTTTACACCAACGCGTCGATTGTAGCGCCGCCTGGATCGCTCCAAGATATCAGACGGCCTTCCTATACTTTAGTCAGAGCACAGTCAAAGGCTGAAAGACACGCAAAATACATACACACAGGCTCAAAAACGCACTGTCATGGTCTACCAGCCTCAAAGAATGTGCTCAAAGAAACACGGTGAAAGCCGTGACGTAGCACAGTAGGCGTTATTTGATTGGCAACATGAGCTCGTAGCTTGCACTGCACTCCGACAGCATAGGCATTCCTTCTCCCTCCTTGTCCCTCATGCACACTCTTATTGTTATATTTTGCTCTGTCGCGCTCGCGCGTCGACGTTAGCGCCGTCTGGATCGCTCCAAGATAGCAGGCGGTATTCTTCAAAGGATGTCGCTACTTTTCCTTATACAGGGGCTTTACCGAAGCCATGCGCTTGCTTGGCCTTGTTCATATTTTTCTGGACATTTGCCAATGATCAGAAGCGGTGTCGCTGTATGGCGCTTGCTTTCGATGTTACTGCCGACACAATTTTAAAACCCGACCTTTATATAGTTTAACTCAGCTTTGTTGAGTCGTTCGTCCTACCAGCCACAGATGTGATATGGCTGTGGCACCTTAATAAGCAATTAGAATATGCTGCAACACAAATACGGTAAAGTAGTCGTTAGGCCGGAATGGTTTCTTCTAACTTCACATTTTAGGCGTCAACCCTTTTTTTTATTATACAAATATACAACAAAAATCACAGCCGCTGGTAGCTGCTACCAGCGTCTTTGATTTTATTCAATAAAACATTGTACAATTTTTGTAGGAAGGAAACAATAAAATATCCTCCTTACTGAAAATGAAAGGTATAATTGGATATTAATTAGCAATACTTGTATCATATCTTTTAGGAATATTACCACTGGAGCTCGAAGACTGAAATAAATTGAGCTTAACTATACACAGCCATGAGGTTACTTTTTTTCCTCTGTGCAATCTCCACATATCGGTTCACTGGTAAGTAATGTAACAATATTATATTGAAATTTGTGGAGCACACTTTCTTTCGACTTTTTTATTGCCTGTAATGAACCAACAATGTTTTTCACTGCATGCGTACCTTTCAGTCTACGTGTTTTTAGGCAAAAACAAAATAAAGAGCTGTGTTTTTTGACAGAAGATGAGTTGTGGATTATGATTATAATGCAATTAAATGCAAAGGTGAAAGCGAGCTGGACAAGAATGACAAAAATAATCACTTGAGAAGGGGAAGAAGAGGGACAATGGACAAACATAAATCTCCAAACACAGCTAGGTGGCTGATCGCGCACCAGTCACCTAGCTGTGTTTGGAGATTTATGTTTGTCCATTGTCCCTATTCTTCCCCTTCTCCAGGAATTATTTTCTTCATTGTAGCCAAGTAGTTTTCTTTAAAGGGGTACTCCACCGATTTTTTGAGCTACCTCAACTAACTATATTTTCTGACTCCCCGGCTTTTACTCTCTCCGGTATGCTATTTAGAATCGCGAAATTCATAATAGTTATTGCGAAATCGGCAAATGAAAATGATGCAAAAACCAACATTTAAATATACGCGCGCTTTTCAGGGCCGTGACGTCAGTGGCAGGCAGGCTTGCCAGTCGAGCAAGCAGCCAAAAAATAGAATATGCCGATCATTTGTTCCGTGCTGGAGCGCGGGTACTGCAGCGAGCTTCCCAAGCATTCATTTGACACCATGAAACTGCTTCGAATCAGTTTAAAACGAAATCTACAGCCCAAAGAGTGAACCCCTGCCTTCCACTGGCGTCACTTTTTCATTGTTGCCAGTAGAGACTTCGAGCTTGAAAAACACGGTGAGGACCAAAACTGTAAATTCAATAACTTCGCGAAAAAACAATATTTTGACCTAATATTTGGGATACTATTTTCGCGATGTTTGTTGGTTAGTTTAGCAAAATTTCAAGCAAATCGGAGACAATGAAAAAATCGGTGGAGTAGCCCTTTAAGTGCTTCCTCCATTGTGATAACCATACTTTTATGACACATTTTTGCTTTGTTTTTTTCGCTTTTAGATGCTTGTCTTGGTATTTAAAATCAATATATTTTTCTACGTTTAATTCTTTTTTTAATGCTTTGCCAAGTTTGCAATGATAAATTTTTTTTTACAATAATTATACTATTTTAATTTTACTGCTTTTAGTGAATATCTTACACTTTGTGACAAGTGATTGCGAATGGTGCTTCTTTTATTGCGCGTAATATTTATACGCCATGTTTGATTTATTTTGCATACTTTTGTACAAAATAAACTACTACAACCTAGCTGTTGAGGTTTGTTGTTGACAAGATTCCGGCCAATTAAATTTAAAAATAAGCATATGACCCTTGCTAATTGATGATTTTTTTTTGTTATATATAACAAAATGGTATTTCATGCTCTTCTCGCCATAGTAGCTACTTAACTGGTCACTTTCTGACCGCCACTTCGGTTGCTCCGAGGAAAAGAAAAGCTCCGGCCTACGGATCCCCAGGTGGCGGTTTCGAATTTCGGGCGAGGTGCCCGCAATATGACGGAGGCATATTGTGGAGATGGTCCTGTGTAACCGAGCTTTCAGTTGCACGTCAAAAGGTCCTCAGGTACTCAAAATTATTCCTCAGACCTCCGCTGGGGCGTGGCAGATGCCCTTCGTTGATTTGGCACGTAAAACCTACAAATGTAACTTAATTTTCTGGCGGTCGGCGTGCGTAATAGTCATAGTTCCGCCATGTGTACATGTGTATATTTCGTTTTTGTCCAGCCCGCAGATATATAAAATTGTTATTCATTGCATAAAAGAGGCAATACCATTTTTTTGTACCTTTGAAAAATTGCATTCTTGTCAGGAGCAAATCTCACAAATCCCTTCAATCCTATCGAGGGTAAAAACGCTGAAAAAAAACTTACAGAGCATCTTTCAGATAATTTGAGGGTGCGTTTACTTATGATGCATATCTTCAAGGTGATCGGCCCTTCATTTATGTTTTAAGACCCTCACTCAGTAATTATAATATACTTTTATTATAATCCGTAAACTTGAGTGCATGAAATTCACATAACTCCTTGAGACCGATACAGACGGACGATACTCATAAATACGCCAGCTGCTGAGTTTGTGGAAACGTGAATTTTCGTTCACTGTTTAGCAATATGAAGCATCGGGTCGCGGGATATGCCAAAAAAGATCTGGTGCTCACGTGATAGATCTGAGGACAAATAGACTAAATAGGCAGAAAGATAAAGATAATTAATGATTTTCTTCACAAGAGTCCGATGCACTACTCCTTACTGCAAAAATAAATTTATAGAGATATAATGATATTTCTAATCACACATACATATGGCGCGAAGGACAGACGAACATTCTGATACAACGATGTCTCGTTAATATGGACAACTCCGTTCTCCCCAAAAATCGTCCGAAATGTGAGTTGTCTATAATAACGAGACAAAATGCATATATTTCCCCATTTCGTCCCCGATTATGGTGTCCAAATAGCAGGGTATCTATAATAACTGGGTTCATATAAACGAGACATGACTGTAATCCTAACATAAAATGCACCTGGGCATCAGCTTGCATGAACTCGAAACTTCGCGAAATACCGGCTCGGGAGGCTAGCGTTATATTCGGGTTGGCGTGCTTCATTTTGGCCCTCACTCAACAACTCTGTGCTTTATCAGTCATGCGCTCTAACATTTTATTAGGATTCCGTATATCAACCCGAGAGTTCTATATATTCGCCTCGTAATTCGATCGGCGCGATTCACCTGGTGAAAAACAGAACTGCACTTTGTTTGGCACTTACTTGAAGGAAAACAAATGATACGCGCGCGAGGCCAAAAACTGAGGGAGGCGACAAGGCAGTGGTCGCGCTCAGGAATCAACTGCCAAACCTCGTGCTATCTACCCTTGCCCGTACTCTGTGCCCTTAGTGTGAATGCTCTCTCTCCACCCGCATTGAGGACAGAAGGAATCACCACGTGCCTCATACAGAACCATGGATAAACGAAGGCACGCTTCCCCTAATTTTAATCTGGGTTTTGAGGTCAATACTGCACAACTTCACAACTTAGACATCTACTTTTGCTAGTGTTGCTAAAATCGTATTTCATCAGAAAACTTAACAATTGCCTGGTGACGCCATCGCACTATATGCTAGTGGTAATTGAGATTTTGTCTTGCTGAGAAAATCAAATCAGGTGGTGCAAAATGCACGCTGCAGAAGGTCCGCGCTCAGTGCAAACCGTGCATTTGAGAGACAGAAACTATCCTTGCTTTGTGCAGTGTCATGAGGAACGGTGCCAGCGTCTGGCACCACGAAAACGGGATTTCTGAAGATTATTTTTGCAAAGGAAGCTGCTTCTATGGCCAAGCTTTCTGGTCTGCGCCAAATATGTGTGCAGAGGAACCTTTAAGGAACAGTATGTTTTACAGCGAAGCGGTTTGTGGCTAGGGTTCCGTGGATTTTTCATGTGCGTCAACAAAAACTCAGGTCCCGAGTTGGGTGCAAAATCGCTTCATTCTATAAAAAAAGCTCATACGGATCATCACTCGGATATCTATGTTCAGTAGATTAGTTATCAATAGGCACTAATTTCAAGAACAGTAGACTCTCAGGTAGATAAGAAAGGTTTCTCAAAGATTTGCCGTTGTGCGACCCGCGTCGGTCATGTCCACGCTCGCACCACCCTCTCTCAGTCGTCGTTCCAAGTGCTTGCGTGCTTAGTTTCCCTTTCCTCCGCTCTCCCGGGGTGGCGGTCCCATCGCGCGTCTACTTTCCGCCGGAAGGCGGTCCCGTCGCGCGTGTCTAGTTTTGCTCCGGCTCCTCGGGGCGGGTCTGTGTTATGTGCTAAACAGCTTCGCTGGCCATACACCTTCACAAAGTGGAATGGCTTATGATTTTTGTTTTCTAACCCCCCCCCCCCCCCCCCTCTTTCTTTTTAAATTTTAGTTGCTCCTCCAAAGAATACTTTTTATTCCTGAAGGACTCCCTCCTCCGTTTGGGGGTGCTAATTCAACAAATATACTTGTCACCTGTTAACAACGATCCCCCATGGGTCTTATCTTGCACCCCCAAACTGAAGTTTAGACAACATACGGAGGTGCTCTAAGCTTGGGGAAGAACTTGAGAACGACACTGCTTTGAGGCTTAGAGCGGCTGGCAACATTCAGTTGTCCGTCTGAGGTCACTGGGATCTTTCTTTCCAGGTATCCCTCCCGTACAAAGTTGTAGTTCTATGTAACGTCAGATAAATAAGTCACATTTGTCATTTCAATGCTTCTATTCTCGGGGATGACTATCTGAAGCAGTTCAGCAACAAAGAAAGCATGTTTGGGTGCCTCAGTATGTGTACGTATAAAATGGTTCGTGCAACAATTTTTGTACTTTCAGTAAATGCCGCTAAGAACTATCCCTGACGTTGATAACTTGCAACAACCCATTATTTTTCATCTCCGCTCAGTGACAGACGCAGAAAAAAAGAGAGAAAAAAGAAACAGCGTCTCGAACTCAACTCCAATTAGAATAGACGAACACGTGAACTAACGCTAATTATATACCGTCACTGCTCATTATAGTCATGCGCTGGGGTTCAAAAAGCATAGGGCATGGGCTGAGCGCCAGAAATTGCTAGAGTTCGGCTATTCTCTTCTTTAATTGAACACGAGCCATTACGCGGATGTTTGGCGATGTTGATTATTCTGAACCCGAGCACTCAACTCGGGCTCATGACAATCGAGTACGTTAGGGTGCAACATGACTTGCGGTACGAAGTCGTGATGTCATGTGACGTCACGGTGCCAAGAACGGAAATAAATCTAATGACGTTCTGAATTTAAATCGACTTGACGCAGTGAGTCACGGGGCTACGTGGCGTGATATTACTTGACTGCACGTCTTGACGTCACGTGATCACGTACACTATATTTGTATACAATCTCCAAGGATACCCGGTTGCAAGGGTTAGTTGTTACAAATACCTAAACGTAACCGCCTCGCACGATCTACGTCGGGAACCCATATTAATAATATTGCAAAAGGCGAATTCTAAATTATGATACTTACCGCGGTCCTTGAAGTTAAGCTCAGATAATACAAAACTTATGACATTCAAAACACTTATACGTCCATTGAAGGAATGTGCATGTTAAATCCGGGATCATCAAAATATGCAAGACGTGCATAAATAGGAAAAAAAAAAAAATTCAGCGGCTTACTTTAGGGTTTATTTATTCCAAACATCGTTGATTGGACTCTCCAACGGTACTGTACTCGAAAGCTAATTTTTCGATATTCAAGAATCAGCATAAGAAAAGTAAAGGTTGAAATTGCTTTACATTATACTAAACAACTTTCTGCAGATAGAAAAAAAACAAAACAGCTTACCTCATTTCTGATGTATTCAGAATTACTCGCAACAAATATGGCCATACCATTCGTTTGCCTAATGCTTCAAAGACTGTTTTAAATATTACCTTTCCCCCTTAAATATCGGCGACTGCAACTCGTTTCTAGAAGATGCTGTCTCGTGTCTTTCGCTTGAATTGTTCTCTTTATGCCTTGCGTCTTACGACGAATCTTATTACCCGTGAAGTGAAAAAAGAGGAAAAAAACATTTTTTGTGTATTTTAATATTGAGTGCGCTTTGCTTCTGCGATTGTGCTATACCAGCTTATCGTTCAGTAAAATATAACGTGATTTATTGTATTTGTTCCGGCACTTTTGCCAGCCCGTCTGAAACTCTGTTAACACATTTTATTGTGTTTTCCTTTTTTGTATTTTGCCAGAAAGTGTATATTCGTATTTCTTTCATAGTCCCATGAGGTATACACAGTATTTTGAAATAAATAAATAAATACATTTTTGTTAGAGTTTTTGGTGCTTAGTAAAGTGTTCCTGTTCTATTTCTAGGAGCGTCGCCATCACCAGATACCAGACTGGACGACTTTTTTGCCGAAGTCATTCTCAAAACTCAGTATGAATTGACAAGACGCAATCCGAATGGTCGAAAAATATTTCTGCCTAGTTCTCTTGAGGATGACAATGGCGTCCGTGTATCTATCGGAAGAGACATCTACGCCATCATCTTTGGATTAGACTACAAGTTCCAAAAAAATGGACGGTGTATCACAAAGGTCGAGCAAGCCAAACATACGCTTCAGTGTCCTGTCACATTTAGTTGGATTCGCATAGTGCTTCCTCGCGCAGTCGATGAAACGACGCAATACGTAGTTCGTGCTAAAATTACAGGAAGAGTGGTCCTTGAGGAAAGATCGGGTTTGTATTTTGTTCTCCTATCTACCTGTAACAATATTAGCTGCGGTTGGGGAAGGCAATAATTTGCCGGATTTCACATTGCATGAACGCTGTACCAAATAGGAAAAAAAAAGGTCAGTTAATTCCTCGTAGCTGTATTCGACCACACTCTTGATTTATTCAACAGAGCTACTAAATGTTTCCAGAGTACCGATACGCCCAACCTGTTTTCAGATTCGTGTGGCATCACTGTAAAATCACGGCCATTGGCACACCGCGATCAACGGCAAACGGCGCCTGTTTGCAAGTTGGCAAAGGGGAAGCCGTTCTCCTTTGGAGGCCTGATTTGAGCTACTTAATATGCAGGGTGTTTCCGAGCTCGATTTCTGCTCAAAACATTTATTATATATAAACCACTAAACTGAGCGCAATTAAAGTTTTTGCGAAGGTCTGTTTAGGTGGCGAATATATCGTACTCATTTTTTACAAGCTTACTAGGTTTTTATAAAAAAGCTTAGGCCTAAAAACCTTTTTTTTCTCCCATGCACAGATGGCAAAACATAAAGCAAAACCGAGAAAGGTACTTTGAGATGAACACCCGAAAGCAGATCCCAGAAGTCCGAGTATGTCTGGCACCGTTTGTGCATGGCAGCAACCATGGGCGTACCAACCGGAAGGGCAAGGGGGGCGCTTGCGCCCTCTCAGAGTGGAAAATGAGGCGTGTGTTTTCCGCCCGCCCCCCCCCCCCCCCCCCCCCCCCCGGCCCTGAAACAGCCGCCACTGAGCAGAGGAAACAGTGGCCGGCGGCGCCCAAAAAGTATAAAAGGCGCCGCCCCCTGTCCCTTGGGGAGGGGGGGGGGGGGGGGTTCTGGCATGCCCCCCCCCCCCCCCCCCCCCGCTCAAAAAAAAAATTTGGTACGCCACTGGCAGCCTCCACAAGACGGGTTTGTCGTTTTCCTCCCTGTGCATAAGGAAAAAAAAAGACGGGATTTCTCAGGCTTAAATCCTTCTCCGGAGACACTTATAAAATTGTAGTATTATAAATACATAACCTAAAGGCATCGTCGTGATAAGTTACCAATGCACTCAAATCAATATTTTGTTTCTACGAAGAGTCGAAAGACTTAGTGAAAACCATAACGAGTACAGAGAGCCTTAGTGAAAGCCATCACGAGTATAGAGAACCTTACTGAAAATCATCACGTGCTGACAGACCGTAATTCATCATCGTGCTCGTAAATGTTTCACATATTTTGTTTTTGTTTTTTTAGCCCAGTTTGAATATAATCAAAGATCATCTAATCAGAAAACCAGATTGGCTGGAGTATATTGTTCTAGTAGAAGCTATGAAATTTGATATCTTGGAACACTGAGCGAATCGAGCTAATAATATCATCACGACAGCATGCACTTGGAGCATTCTACATCCGTTCAGCCGCTCTCCTTCCACACTCTTCTTCTTAAACCTTAGAGAGATCTTGTGAGCCGTTTCTTTGTATTAGCGCTTATGTCGTTGAAGAGCAAAGCATATGTTATTTCCGGAAGCAGAAATTCCTATCACCTCTCGTCCTTTTAATATTTCTTTCTGTTGGAAGGACGAAGGTACAAAAGGAGCCCCACGACACTGTAGCATACAATCGGTTGATTGCGAGATACGTAAAGTGTCACCGATACTTTCCAAAGGGACATATGCTGAAAACAAAATGTGGCAAAAAGATATTTTATTTCTTGCCGCGTGCTGATGCAACAAATCTAGCGAAGCCGTGGTGCTGAAGATTTTAGTCCCCTAGCCGGAGCTCAGCGCGAGGCACAGAAGGCACACGAGATGTGCGACAGGTTTCGGCTAGTTTGCGATCAATCAGTGAGAAAATGAATCCCTGATAAGCTCTGACGCAACAATCGCGTTCATTGTGTGAGTCGCGTTGACCTTCAGTTAGCGTGATAAAACAAAATCAGCATAACAGCCACGGTGCCTGGAACGGGTCTCCGACCGCTGTGTTCTCCCGAAGTGGCAATGAATGACGCCGCCAAAGCCGCAGTGTCATGCTGTCGCTGGTCGCGATCCTGGCGGTGTCCCAGCAGCGGTGATGGATGTGGCAGATGCCCGTTCTGCCGCAGTTTCGCTCTCCAGGTTGACAATCCTTGGAAGCTTCGGAAGCCAAGGGTTGGGACGCTGCGACAACAGCGACACTCGTGTTTACTCACGCAGTTTGCCGGGACTTCAACGACCAACCGGCAGGACAGCATGACACTCCGGCACTCCTTTGACGTTATCAGGAAAACAATCGAGGTACCACTTTTTTTGGACAATGTGGGAAACGAGCCACACGGAAAGGCGCTCCAGGAACCATACTACAGCGTAGTTTTCAGGGGGCCTTGGCTGGTGGCGGTGGAAATGCAATAAATGTTGTTTTGAGTATCTTTATGAGATAGGAGTTCAGGATGCCATTAGCATAGATTTATATTTTATTAAGCATTAACGCCCAGATTGCTTAGAAAGTGAGATAGAAAATTATTGATGCAAAAGGGCCTTCAAAATAACACTGAGTCGTGCGAAGGTTCCATTAAGAAAATAATTCAGGCTTCTAAAAGCTCGACGTTTGTCAGTAGAAGCGCTGCTAAACCATTTACTTTCTTGCGTATGTGACATGACATTGCTGCAAAGTCTGAAAATTGTTGAACTGTTCTGGCCTAATTGCTATCCGTTGATGTCGTTTCTAATAAAACTCAGATAAGGATGTCCTGGGAACCTTCAAGGTGGCGCACAACGTTTCTTTGAAATTTGTTTTGCTCGTTGTTTTTCAAGTTTTGATATGCGTCTGAAATTTTTTCGTCATCGACTCGGTATTTTTTCGGAACAAATTAGCTAGAATAAGCAACGTTTTTGACGATATAAAAAAAACGATTGAAGCAAAACAAACTAATATTTGAAAATACGCCCGAATAAAATAACGAAACGTAGAATGATTCTAAAGTCGTCGTCACTTGGTTTGCCTAATCAATCATTGGAATGTTTAGTTGGGCGAAATTGGAAGAGGTCATCGATTGGGTTGAATACAACCGGGATAGACTTCGCCGATTACTGTTAAATTCTTTCAATTTTAAAGTTGAATAAAAAAGTAATTTGCACTTGTTTTAAGATAAAAATGCCTTTCCCTATTCCCGGACTTCGGATATTTTTTTAAAATTAAGGTGCATGCTCTTGGCGCAGCAGAAGTTGTGGGATTTCTCCCAACAGTTAAGTGAAAGCGAGACCAATTACCTAATTTTTGACATGATATGGTACACAAACGTATGTCCGTGGCTCAGCCAGCTTATGACTCAGCTAAATAAAACGGAGACTGTAAACACGAAAAGAGCGGATACCTCCGTTGTTTGACCAGCTTATTACTCCCGGAGAAGTGTGCAATTGTAAAATAGAAAAAGCAACGAAATAATACATATATTGCCGCGCGCGCAGCTGGCCAAGTAGGCAGCGCGCGCGTGGCCTAACGGTTATCGCGCTTTCCTCTCACGCAGAAGGCCAGGGTTCGATTCCTGGCCGCGGCTGTACATTTTTGTTGACTCTGTAATGTGATGTTCTGGTGAATTCGAGAACCGTCTTGGTGATTCGGGGTTAGAATGTTCTGTGCGCCGAACCTTCTACGCCGAACGATCCAAAAACCACAGGGTACAGGGATTCCTCTGTTTCGTTCCAGCGTTCGACTCTGCTCCTACGCCGACTTCGACGCTCTGCTGTTATCTTTTGTCTCACTTTTATTTTCTTTTAGGCACAAGTTCGCCCTATTAAACGTTTAGTTTCTTTAGTTATTATCGCCTCATCACTTGTTATTCGTGACAATATATATATATATATATATATATATATATATATATATATATATATATTTTTTTTTTTTTAATATTTCACAGGCCGCAAAAAAATTTGTATATAATTTCTTTTAAAAGAGGTCCCTCTGCTTGTAAATAAACTGGCAGATAAATATATACCCGGAAAATGCAAGAAAAAAAGTGTCATTACAAGTTGGAAAAAATCATGTCTATTATTCATCGCTCTCCCATAAACTAAATTATGTCTCATTATGCAAATTCCTTGGTGTTGATATTTGAGAAATATTGTCGTTGAATCATCATATCCCCAACATCCACGCAAGCTCACAAAAATGATTAGATTTCTTAAGGCGGAGTCTACGTATAGCCCCCGTTGCAACACACTTACTGGCGTACAGAATAATCATTGTAAGATATCTAATCTAGAATAAGCAAGTATTATATGGTATGCACATCACGATGATCTAAATTTTAAACTCGAATCCCTTCTAAATAAAGTAACCCGGTACATATATACGAGCAGAATTTACGTCTTAAAAACTAGTATTGGTCTCAGTTCATTTGCCTCCAGGGGCAAAATTAACCGCATGTGTTTATTTATTAAAATTTACTACAGCACTTCAGACTTCAAGAATACATTATTTCATACTGCTCATTATATTTCCTCTCGAACAGATAACTCGCGGAAGCTTCAGCAATTCCGATCCTATAATTATTCCATCCTATTTTCTCCTCTATTACTGTGTATTTTAGAATAGAATAACCTACCCGATCAAATTGTAATCAACATAAATCGTGAAGCGTTAAACAAAATTATGCGAATTGATTTATTTTGAATATCTCTTAATCACTTCGTATTATTTTCATGGTTATTTGTTATGTCGTGTTTCAAACTAAATTTCGTATAAATCATATCAGCTTGGTGTCTTTTTTGTGTGTGTCGCTATGACCAGTGATATCATGTTTATACTACCATTTTTATTATATCCTGTGTTTTGCAGCGAAGCTGTTTCATGCTAGGGTAATAATAATAATAATAATTGGGGTTGTGTTGATATTTATACAGCCTGTAGTTGGTCAGCCATTTCAAAGTTGTGACGAGTCACTCGCTGTAGACGAGCAATTTAGCCAGTGAAGTACAACCGCTATCCTGGGGTCTTTAAGGTGCACCACGCAGTAAGGATACACGACCGCACGCTGGTACGATGATCATCCAGATCGAAACGGGCAGGTGTGGAGATTGAATCCAGGATATGCGCTAGGGCCTGGAACAAAATGCGTCCTCACATGTCGACAGAAAACTCCCCATTAGTTGTGGCTAGTATGAATAAATAAAAACAAAAAGAGGGGTCAAGTATGAGTAAATAAATACAAATAGAGAGAGCATCCAGCGTGAGTCATCCTTCCTTGGCATTGGCATTATTAGATACTGAGGTATCATCTTTTGTTACCCTTGTTATCATCCCTAGGCATCGTCCTCGAGGTCCTTCAAGGAGTAGTCCTTGAGGTCGTCTGAGAGATCATCCTAGTCGTCGTTTTCGAGGTCGACCTTGAGGTCGTCCTAGACTTTGTCCTCGATGTCGTCATAGAAGTCGTCCTCGAGGTCGCTTGAGAAGTCGTCCAAGAGGTCGTCCTCTAGGCGCCGACATGGAAGTCATCCTTAAGATCGTCCTAAACGGCGCCCTTGAAGTCGTCCTTGAGGTCTTTCTTGAGGTCATCCTTGAAGTCGTCCTAGACACCGTCCTCTGGGCATCATCCTCGGGGTCGTCTTAAAAGTCGTCCTTGAGGTCGTCCCAGACGTTGTCCTCTAGGCATCGTCCTAGACATCGAAAAGATAACAGCTTCGCTGGTCCTCCATCTTCACGTGAAGTGGAAAGGCTCTACAATTTTTTTTCAACCCCTCGCCTAATCCGTCCCCAAAAAACGCCTTCTAGGTAAATACATCAAATGATATATTTAGCTTCACTAGAGACTTAAAAAATTCAATTCTGACGGTCTTGCTACCATTAGGACGAGAAAGTGTCTTTAGTTTTTTTTTTAGATAATACTTTGTATCTGCCCTTTTACAAATTAAACACTCCTTATATTTCAGGCATTCCTAACATGAGATATAAACGATTTTCGAGGAGCGGGACAACGTACCTGATGTTCGATTCCAACTACAATCCCGTTCCATCTCCGGACAAATACAGCCTTAAAACGGGAAATCTTTTGAACCTCCGAGGAATTCTGGAGTCAAGATTGAGGACTTTCCTTGGTGACAATGAACAATTGAGTGATTGCATTAACACCGCTTTGAGAGCAGTTAAAAATCCCCCGGATTTGAGAAGTTAATAATACTTTTCCTGCAATAAAAAATGCTCACGCTAAGCGTAATATTTCTTGTCTTCTAATCTACTATGATGATTTTAGATGAGTGAAAAATATTAATAAATACGCAATAATTTATTCCGTTAACTGAAGAGCGTGTTCGTAACATGACTGTCAACAGAAATCATAAAACAAACTCGGGACAAGGAACGACGTTTGCTTTATTCTTTCTGTTGCCAGTTAATTTATTCCAGATTTCTGAAACCTTTTCATTTTGTTGTCGCGGTGCATATCGTGTACAGAGTGCCACTCAATTAAAAAAAAAATATTTAGATCGCCGGCAATTCTATTCTTTTTTACTGAGCTAGAAATATTTGATCAACAATAATATAGTTTTTACAAGCAAATTAGCAGAAGCTTTTCTCGCAAGCATTATAAACCTGCTTTAGAAACTCAGCTGTTGAGGGAAAAAAGTTGTAGTAGCAAATTTTAGTCACACAGGAGGAACTTTTTGTTGTATACCTAAAATACCTTATAGCGTTGCTGACATTCCTGGGTTCGTGTTTTACTGAGACTGGCAAAACTGTGCTGCAAAGTGTTACATTACGTGATGACATCAAATGATTTCAGTGACCACGTCACGTGACGGTAAAGACGTAATTTCAATGCTTTTTGTATGTGCAGGTCTTTCCTTAGCTAACCATATCTATTACTAACTGTTTCCGTGTTTTCGGCATATACCAACAGACCCTGAAAATTAACCCCGTACCAGTTTTACGAAAAGCTGGGAAAGCCGAAACACCTCGAATTGGAGCTGTCCTTGGGGAGGAAAATCCAGCTTCACGAAGATATATTTTTATCTCAAGCTTTATTTCGTGTTGAGCCGCAACAAAGCCACGCCTTAGCTATCTGCGAGGTTGATTCTTTCATTTTCGGAACCACACCCCGTATCTTCTTTCCTTCTCTTAATACCGGAAGCCAATTTCCAAGTGCTCGGGTCTCGCGCATATTAGCGCCGTCCTGTTGTGTGCACTTCTTTACCCTTGTCCTAGTTTCTTGCCGCTGTACCTTCCTTAGATGTTCTCTACCCTCGAGGTTGGGGAATCCTACACCCGGTCCTGTTCTTGTAAACATAAGCCCCAATAGGTGGCAATATCTTGACCGACACCAAGAATAGACACCGAAGAGAATCTAATCTAAGGGGGAAAAAATAAACGCCGAAAGACAACACTCCTTTTGTATACCTTTTATTGGAGTGGGATAGGCGGAAATAAAACCTACTCCTGCCAAATGTCCTGTCTTATCTAGGCACAGATAAATACCATCGTTGACTTCTGACTTGGAGTACAATGAGTACCTTGATGATATCGAATTATTAAAAAAACTGCGACTCAGCGCGTTTGATCCTTTGTAGTTAGTCTGAAAAGCTAAAAAGCTGGCCAACTACAACAAGTCGACCATCAAGAAAAGCCTCTGGATCGGCTTTAACTGAACGATATAGCTTTGCTCCTTATGAAAGCATCGTAAGCGGGCACCAATCAGCGTTCTTCTTTGGCATATCCATTTGCAGTGCAAGGAATCGATCGTTTCATTTTTAACTTCGGTAGCACTCTTTACAATACTGGAGTTGCACTTCGCCACAAAATTGTGCACTGTCCACGGTTTAGTTCCAGACCTATTTGCGAAGCGTTGCAAATAACATAAGATTATCTAAAGGGACCTCGCAAGTCATAATAAAATTCAGAATGATTTGGCTGATCATGCGGCGTGAGGGTCGGTGGTACCTGTGCCATACTGTAAGCGACATGCTGGAAATGACTTCTTAAGTCGCAGTCACATTTCTAATACATCGTACAAAAGAGAGTGTGTAAACACTCTCTTAGGCGTGTTTCTTACCTGTATGACAGCCCTGTCACATGGGTCATGCAAACGCTCGCTATGTTAGATGCAGAGAGCGTGTTGTAGAGAATACACAAAGAAAGAACGAATATAACATTTGAGGGAAGCGAACACAGGCATACGCAATTCTTCCAAAGAGCAACGACATTTACTGATATTCGGCTTATTTGGGAATTCCCCTAAAGCAATAGGAAAAAAAAAAAAACAGAAGATAAAAACGAAAAGAAAGTCAACGAGAAGAAGAAAAATTATCGCTGCCCGGTACGATGCAAAAGTCGCCTTCCCGTGCAGAATGAGGTCGAGACAGCCTTGCCAGCGTGTGAACAATCCAGGCGCTCCACGTGAGAGTTCCATAAATCCCTTCAATAAGTACGTCAACAGCCAAGAACGACACACTTATTCTGTTTCGTTAGTTTGTGGCCAGGGAATCGGCCAGACAGGAAGAGGCCTTAATGTTCGCCTCAGGGAGCAATTTTTGGAAGTCCCAAAACCTCCTCTGCTTCGTATTATCTCATTGCCGTTCATGCATGAACCTGCCATGGCTGCGCCACACAGTTTATAAAAATAATTACAGGGAAGCAAATTGATGGTCGAGGACACGTTTGTGGAAACCACGGGGGTGATTTTCTATGAATGCGATAACATTTATTGCTGCACACCGCCAAATTTAGTGGGGAAACTAAATTGGTGCGTGTGTCGTGATGTCAATTGTTCGCTACATTTAGCGGGGAAACTCACCTCTAACTTTAGCGCCGTCCTCTAGAACGGCGCTAAAGCTACCGTCATCTATGAACAACGGCGGCAACCAGACAACCGGCTTGCCGGCTGTCTCGTTACCACCGTCGCTCTTAGATGACGGCAAATAGTACAGCTCAGCTGCTCTTCCTTTTTCACCGGAGTGGAAAGGCTGAAAGTTTTTTCGTTCTTGAGATCACCCTAGAGGTCGTCCTTCAGATTGTCCTAGACGTTGTTCTTAACGTCGTCCTCCAGAACGTCGCCCTCGACGTCGTCTAGGACGACGTCCTTGAGAACGACGTTAAAGACGACATCTAGAACGACCCCTGAGACACCCTCCAGGGCGACCTCAAGGACTACCTCTAGGACAACATCTAGGAAAACCTCAAGGACGATGCCGAGGACGACGTCGACGACTTCAAAGATGACATCCAGGACAACTTCTAGGACGACCTTAAGGTTGACCTCAAGGACAACCTCTAGGGCGGCCTCAAGGACGACCTCTATGACGACCTCAAGGACGCCGTATAGGACGACGTCGAGAACGACGTGCTAGGCGACGACGTCGAAGACGACGTCAAGGACGGTGTCAAGGTCGTCATATCTTTCGAACAGGGTGCGAATGCGAAGGGACACGCGGCGCAGTGGGGCGCAAGCACAGTGAGCTGAAATGGTCCACTGCGCGTAGCTACTGCGCATTAGAAGGCCATAATGCAGACAGGTGAAAAGCTTGAGTGGTAGCTTAATAATGCTCTTGAATTAAAGCAGAAGTCTTAGGCACACATATCAGCAGGTTTGGACGATACATTCTTGAACCTTACAAGATTAAGAGGTCCTTCAATAGGACGTCATGGAGGATGGAGGAAAAACTGCTGCCGGGAAGTGATGCTGGATGGATGGTAATGGCGATATCCTTTCTAATGGGCGGCAGCTTCCGCCACCTAGCTTAACAGTTCGTCATTCCTTCTTTTCCTAAGTTTGTATAAATGTTGTTCTAACACAACCCTCTCCCCTTTAAAGTGTTCTCATTGCTTATTTTTATCCGTATTTTCACTCCTCCCGACATCTTTTCCACCAATCTTCTAATCTCTTTTTAGTTACCGCAATTCTTTCCTTATCCATTCGTGCATCCATGTGTGCAAATCCCAGTGCACCCTCCGAATAGGTATTCGCCCCTCAAGAGGGTGGGATGAAGCACCGTGCACCTTAAAATTACGTGTTTTATAGTTTCCTTTTCGCGGTTGCATACGTCGTATAGAGTGTCTATTTCCTGGAACTTAGCCCGAACTGTTTTTGCTCTTCGCACCCCTGTTCTAGCTTCAAACAGCAATGACCTGCCCAATGAAATATCGTACAACTGTTCCTTCTTTATTTCTTGTTTTTGTGCCCTGTATATATTTTAAAGCTGATTTCCACTGCATTCTCTCTTCCCACAATTTCCTATCAGTTTTATTTACTCCCTTTTCCGCTGATATGCTCTGATCGGCCCCATCTCTTTGAAGATGATTAAATCTCAGCTTGCGGGTTCGGTTTGTTCCCTTGGTGTTTAGACCTTGCATATATAGATGCTTGTACACTTTTCCTGCCCACCGTCTTTCCTCAATTTCAGCTAATCTTTGTTCAAAGTTTACTATACTGTTCGTTTGTATACTTTCGAAAGATGGATGCCCAACCCATATCCTCCTGTACTCCCTATTTGGTGTTTTTCCATGTGCTCCCAATGCCAACCTACCCACACTCCTTCGATGTATCTCTAAACCTGCCTAGATTCCTGACCTCATCTACAATACCGCATTCCCAAATGACAGTCCTGGCACATGACTCCTTCCATACACGCCTAACGACTTCATATCTATTATAGTTCTAGAGTCGCCTGTGTTTCATAATAGCTGCATCCCGTTTCCCCTTTTTCATTACAATAACTTCATGTTCTTTTAGATACTTTCTTTCCTCATTTAATCATACTCGTCCCAGATATTTGTACTTTTCTACGTGTTTTATCACTGTGACCTGTACCTCCAGGAATTTGCCCTTCTCGTCGTTAAAAAAATGAAAGCCGTTTACAAATCCCTGTAACGCGGAATGGGAGCGCAGCTCTTGAGGAGGAGTAGGGAAGGGTACTGAGGGGGTCACGTCACCTGCGGGTAGTCACGTGACCCCGGGGGTCACGTGATCTCGGGGGGGGGGGGATGGGGTCACGTGACCTTGGGGGGTCACGTGACCTCGGGGGGTCACGTGACCTTGGGGGGTCACGTGACCTCGGGGGGTCACGTGACTTCGGGAGGGTCACGTGATCTCGGGCGGGGGGAGGGTCACGTGACCTCGGGAGGTCACGTGACCTGGGGTGGCCTTGGGGGTCACGTGGGGGTCGCCTTGGGGGTCACGTGACC